ACATTGTCCGTGGCATATTCTATTACGAGGATATTATTATACTGTAATTTGTATGTGTTTAATGTCCAGGCTTAAAAAATAATAACTACTTACTGCAGATTTAACGCGTTTTTTTTTTCGACGTAATATTTTAGTAGTTTTTAACCGATACCCGGGTATAGGCTGTCAAAATCTTGTTCTCAGATAGTAATTGTTAGTTTTGTACACATTGCACGCGTATTATACTGATGAAATTGCGTGTTGGATGTATTGAGTGTTAAACCGTCTGTCTTTCAAATAACGCAGACTCCATAAAAAAAGAAACAATGTAAAAACAAATTTATTTTCCTATTAAACTAGTAGAGTCTGCCAAGACGTATAATTGTCATTTCTACATTTTTAGTTGAATTAGTTTTTAAAAAACCTAGTGTTATATTTAAATGAAAAATAGTAGACATTTTATAAATCACCACGAAATCATATTCAATAATTTTTTACCGCTTTTTTAAAAGTATTAATTATTATTTTGGTATAAAAAATATACTGATTGAACTTAATCATAAAACACTGCAAATTAAATAAATAAAACTGTCGAATCTCTTTGAGTTATGCAAATTAGCCGTGAAATTGATGATGTTGTTCATAAGTCTTAACAGTTTAAAGGACTAGCGGGCTAATGTTATTCACCTCGAGTAATATTTACTTTTTAACCGGCTTATTATGATGCAATAAGCCGATATTATATTATATGAAGTTGTCACAGGCAATTTAACAAACGTTATACATACAATGGTGCGTCTCATTTCTAAATATGGTAATTTAACTAAACGTGTTTAATACACAAACGGTTTATTGTTATTTATTTAATTTGTCGCGTTTTTGAAACGTAAGTAGGTAACTTTAAAATGTTCAATTATAATATTTCGATACAATTTACTTTTTAACCTTGGAAATAAAATCTTTTATAATTATAAGTAGACGTAAAATATTTAAATTTAGAAAACATGGGAGTTTAGAACACGTTTATACATTTGGTCGGGAAGAAAAAGATTAATATTATACAATAGTATTTATTTGGAAATGTGTAACACACCATTTACAAACATGTAAGTTGCCGGGGAGCAATTATCACAAACGCGCGTCAAAACAAAACATGTGAAAAACGGGTAGATATACTAAAAGTTCCAGTCGAATAACTTTAGAACATGTAGCTAAAATGTTTTGTAGCAGAGTACCTATATCCATTTAACGCGGAATCATTTTCTTTGGAGTTTTTTTGTTTTGTGTTAGTACCATCTTTATAATATATATATATAATAATAATAGCATCTATCGTAGTAATTGAGACAGTTCGAAGTTTATACGACGGAAGTATTCTTTCTTTTCTTTTTGTTTTTTATTGGAATATGGGGCTTTTACGGTGGAGCGCAGGGGGCCGGTTAGCTGTTTTTATCATTCCATCAAAACGTTCGTCCATCTGAGTCGTCTACACGCATTGTAATAATATTATTGTCCCTAGTTCACTCGCCACGAGCGACTACATACGACGGAATTATACTGTGCCTAATATCGTTTTACTGCGGACGTTTGACATTCGCTGATCTATTATTGTCTTCCACGGTTTATTACTTTTTTTTTATACGTATATAAACATTCGATTTGTTCGATAAAGCCGCGTTATTTTTTCAATCAAACAAATGAATCCGAATCGTAATTCGCCTGAACTGTCGTGCGCACATATGTATATATATATACACACGGTTAAATACGCACGGAACGACCCTTATAGCTGCTGTGCAAACTGCAGTATGGTTTTATTGGGGTCGTAACATTTTCGGAACGCTCGGCGGATGGGCCGCAATAATAAACATCATCGGATGAGTATAATTAACTAACGGAAAAGACACACCTTTGAAAGATTTTCGATTTTATTGCGCTCACATAATACTACGCGTGACGCGTCTGCCACCCGCGCGCCAAAAGTAACTCAAAAATAAAACAACATCATCTGTTTAATACGCATTATATTAAAGTATATTATGCTATCGACTTAATTTGTAGAACATTTAAGCCCCACCGTACGTTTTAAACTTTGGCTGGGTCATTTAAATCCAGCTATCCGGTAAATGTAACTGTGATTAAAACTCTTCGTGTAATACTATACACTTGACTCCGAAAACGCTAAATACACCTGACAGTCTGACACTGGGACACAAGTTTCCGGAAAATCGGTTATATCTGTGTTTGGTCTCAGTAGCTAAACTTTAGTTTAGGTAACGCCGTGATTAAAGGCCTAACAAGCTAAGCATAGTCCCAAAATCGGCCTGATTATTACATTTAAATTAATTTCACATTAAATTAACAAAAACTTTTGACACCAATATTATAAGAAAGTAAAAAGTTAAGAATAATGGACGTTTTTCAGTGATTTATACAATAGAAATGTAAAGAATGCGCTAAAGTATGCAATGTAAGTATGCATGTGTTGGTTCTAGATAATTCGATTATAATATTTGTTGAATCATTTAAAAACTCGATTTTAAATCAAATCAAATAATATTATATAACATATTTAATGAGCATTTATTTAAAAATTTAAATCGTTTTTGTTGTAAAATATATTATTAAAAAGTACATGTAATTAAACAATTTTACACTACCATTATAATATATTTATACGTAATAATTAATAATATTATGAACTCTTACTATTTGTACTAAGAACATTTTAAAACCAAAATACCAACACCAAATATGTCCATTTTTTAGATTCAAAAAAATCTATAAGTCTATTGTTTATGGATCTATCAAATAATTATTTATAAGTGTAGCATTATTGGGTTTTTACCTGAAGCGATTTTAGCTAAAGAATAATGTATAAGCAATAAAATAATATGTTCCGTTTTTATTATTCAAATGTGCCTACAGTTAGGAATAAAATAATGATTTTTGACCTCAAATTCTAAGTCTCATATATATTTATTTATTAATAAATTCAAGAACAAATGTTTACTATACCATTTTTTGTTTATTTATAAATAATAATACCTTTTTTTAAAAATCATGTTTTTGAAAACTTTACCAAAACTATATTTCATAATAATAGAACTTGTAACATATTCATTGTGTTAATTTGAGTACTTACTTACAGTGGATATTATTACTTATACATATTATTGGATTTAATCGAACAAATAACTTTCTGTTTTCATTATTAAAGGCAAATAATTTAACTTAATTGTCGAGATTAATTATAAACTACAAAATATCAATAAAAAAAAAAAGGGAAATAATATTTTTTAAATGGTTTTAATTAATGTTGATGAGAAACTATTGGCGTCATTATACAGATAACTAAGTTTCCGATGAATATATATTTATACAATATTTAAATTCTGTTCGCTTTTAAATTTTAAATCTCAAAATTTCACTGGTTTTTGTTAGACCCATAAACTTATGCAATTTTCAACCTATAAAATTGTTGGAAAATAAACAGAAATTGTACTTATCAGTTACAGAGGTTATTTAATTTTTATCTTTGAAGTAGTTTAAAAAATTCACTTGAAGTGTAGTAGGGAAAAAGTGAATTTTATGGCACACCTGATTTAAAAAAAAAACATTTACTAATTTTCAATAAATTAAGCTTGGTTTGGGCTGGTTTTTTGATCGTTTTTAAATTTAAAATTAGACCCCAATACTGATTTAGCATTTATTTTCTCTTTGAGATTTGTTTTATAATCACTGTATGATTCCATATTACGCACTTTTAATCATATTATATTTATTGCACTCCTAAAATAGTAAATTCTAAATAAATCACGTATTAAGTCCATTAGAATTTTTTTTCAAAAACATCTTTATATATTTATGATTTCTATATAATATTACAAAGTATATATATGGTATACACCCAACTACATCAGGTACATAATATATTGTATTGTATAAATGATACATCGATCGATTAAGTTTATTACGGACGAAAAATTTTCCACAAAAGTAGGCTTATAGATTTTATTTTATTTTATAAATGATAACTTGAATGAAAAGTAACAATGTAGAACGAAAGTTGAAGTATTGTAAGAATCAAAGTAAAGATAAGAAGTATTAAAAATAGTTATATAATAGAGGACTAATAGACGACGAATGAGAAAACCATATTGAATAGACCTGTAGGTATATTTGCTAAGCCTCGAGGAAGATTAAAGATGACTGAGACGTTTCAAAACAAATATATAACAAGACGTATGAACATCATGAATATTATAAAAAATTAAAATTAAGCAAAACTTTAGGTTGTTCATTAATAATAGTAAAATATATATTTTCAATAATATGTTTGAAAGTATTTTAATGTTGTGATTAAAATATTATTTTCAAAAAATTAGCGAAACGTAAACATAATAATATAATATATAGTTATTTCTTACTATTTATTACACACAATTTCTTAGTTTCATTTAAATTATACAACACATGAATAATCTCAATTAATTTTGATTATTTTAAAATATAATTGTGTTATATAATCTAGTTTCTGAAATATTTCAGTGCATAACCTCTATCCATTACAGATGTGTTTATAGAATTTTAGATCTAAAATTACTGTAAAAACATTATATTAGGTATTAGGTCCACAGAATGAATAGAGTAAAGAGAACTAAAGAGTAAATTTAAGAACCTAGACGATAGCTTTGACGTATGTTTGTTAAAACATTTAGAATAAATATTTTAATATTGAAAATATTTGTTTTTTTTCCATCACCTCGTGTTTCTAATATCGCGTATTTTTTTAATTCAAAATATAATATCTTAGTTTATGTATTCATAATATAGTTTTTTATAATTTGTTATAATGCATACATTATAAGTCTCATGCTTGTATATGTTTATTATATAAAGAAATACGAGTTTACACAATTAATCGGCACCATTTTCACACTTCGGGCTGACACAGTTTCATTTTCTAGTTTTAGATTCAACATTTTATTCACAAATTGTCTATATTTAAAAATGCTTACCTTTTAATGGAGGCAAAATATTGTTTCATAAAATCTTCGGCAAGGTCTAGTACTTCAGTTTTTGGTCTTACGGTTGAGTTATGGAATGCCGGTGGAAGCATAACACTGCCCAGACATGCTTTTTCATTACACAACGGGGGCTGAAAACATTACAGTTTTTAGTTAGATTTAAAACATTATGAACACAGTAATCACGATTTAATGTAAAACATAATAGCCCAAATGGATTATAATATCACCGCACCCATACAATATACAGTCATTTTTCTATTTAAAAACACATGACATCAAATTAACAAGTTGACTAGAATTTATTAAGCATTCAATTTTATTTTATTCAGTCTATAAAAATAAATTATTAATAAAGCCATGTTCATTTTTTATAAATATTATGTTAAGTGGAAAACTGAAAATGTAATTTATGAATTGTAATTCTTTTAGGAAACACTGTAAATATTTGCATTAATTTATCTATTTATTTTCCGTTGAAGCTAAAACACTTGTTATCGTAAACGAAAACCAAAACATGGATTTTCAAGATAAACATTTGTTTCACGTGTTAACATAAAGTACACAGATGAAATTGTGCAGAACAAATAGTGCGGCTTTGGGCGTTAAAAAAATGCAATAAGCCTACTCGTACTCTAATAATTTCGAGTGGTATTTTCTTTAGCCTATATAGTGTAGGTTAACTGCTATTAGCGCTGTATAGGTACTTACGAAAAATCAAATACTGTACGCCGAGTAATCAGTTGTGTATATTTCGGATCGATATATTGAATACTTAGAATCTTCTACATTGTTTGCTCTGACAATCGGTCATCGCTACGGGGATCTTAAAATATTTCATTATCGTCTATAGGTAGTTTATAACATAATAGATTTTATATAGAAATCTGTGATGCAAATATACACGTTCCATATTTTGTTTTAATAAAATATTAAATCTATAGTAATAATATTATACTATATTCGTTCCTTCTAGCCCTATTTTCATTTCTTTCAGCGGTAACTACACAATGTTGTACGGGCAATAATTCGCTAAAAAAATTCAATTTATAGTACCTATACAATTCCGGGAAAATCCTATTAATCTCTCACCATCAATTTTTTCGCACACTGTAAATATTTAAACCGTGTAGAAAACTAATTTCTTTCGTATAAAATAATCATCTTTTTTTTTTATCCAAATTGTTTTCTAATTCAAGTTAAAAAACTATTTCAGTTTATGTTCAAAAAGGTTTGAGAAAATCAAACGCTTTGTAAAGGTAGAGTAAATATTTTTGTGTGAGGCACAAATTGGTGGTCAAAGTTAGTGAATGTGTGTTTTCCACGGACTGTTACTTGGTAAATTATAATTTTTTTTTTTTTTTTTTTATTGAACTTAAGCTTCGGCAACTGAGGCTATTAGCTGTAGTAGGATTTGTATTGTAGTTTGTATTGTATATTTTTTGGAACGGTAGGGGGGAACACGTGTGTGTTTGTTTTTGGCAGAATTTCGAATGGGGCACCCGTAGGTTTCTGCCATGCCCCGGGGGTGGGGGATGGCAGCACTTGTTCTCCGGTCACCGCGACTTGTCCGGAGAAAAATGCCGCCCGGTAGCCGAGGATCGAACCGCGACCGGCTGCGTCGCAGCGGACGCGTCAGACCACTCGGTCACCTCATCCCCATTATAATGTTTTGTACAGATGAGTAATGCCCGTAAAACATAATGATGTACCTAGTTACCACGAAAAGATATGAGACGGATCCAGAAGTAACACATGGATACTACTTTATAGTATTTTTGTTTATTCAAAAAAGTTATCGATACACAAGAAATAATTTAATTTAATTTTGATTTTCATACTTTAATTTATACTTATAATAAAATAAATGCATAATACATAACATATTCCATTATTATCAGATATTATTTATAAGAATGTAATTTACATATTTTTTAAGTATATTTTTTAAACTTAGTACAATATTTGCAATATTAAAGTATAGTACAAATTAATAATGTCTAAATAATTATATTCTTCAATTTATTCATATTATTCATTATGTACATTATTACTTAAGTTGTGTCATAATGTCTTGATAAATTCATAAAATAAACTATTAAAAACTATAATTTTTAAATGTATTATTAATCTTAATATAAACCTATTTTTTTAATGAAAAGTTTTAGGATTGCATTAAATATTTTATAACCAATTTAAGTCATTAGTTATTCTGTCAATTACAAATTCAAATTCGTTGAATCAAAAACCAATATTGGAAAAATTAGAAAAATGGACGTATATCCTTTCGAAAAGACTTAATCATATTTTTATTTTATTCTAATTAAAATAAAAGTATTTTTAGTAGTGATTTAACACAAGTTTGGGAATAATAAGCTGAATTTATTATTTATTCACTTTATAAATATCAAATCATAGTCTATGTACATTTTAGAAAAACTAAACAAACATTATTATTAAGACACGTTTTCAACAATAGTTTAAAGTAATTATTATACATATTTATTGCTTTATAAGTATATATTATAAAAAGCAATAGAAATAAATCTTTAACTAAACGTTTTTTCATGGAGAGGTGAAGTTTATTTTCTTAAAAATAAATATATATTAATTATGAGCAATAAAACCAACAAGTTTGAATTTATATTTTACTTAAACTGTTTGATCAAGATTGCATGTTCTTATCTTAAAATAACTTGTTACACATATTTTGATTTTTAATGAATTACAATAAATTATGTTAAACTTGGTTGATCCTTTTTTTTTGCTTTTAGTAAAAATTGATTACTCGTTATTTATTATTAGAATTCATAATTTTCAAAAGTTAATTTTTAAAAAATTTTTTTTTGACAATATTTCAATGGATTAAACAAATAAAAAAAAACAATTTCATACGTGCATGCGTGAAAATGTAAATCTATCGGTTAAGCTTTTAATTTATTTTGTAATTTTTACAATGAAAAAAAATTAGTTATTTTATTTACCGTAAAAATAAAGGTATTATGGTCATGAATAAAATATGTTACATAATTATATAAATAATTATTTTGTTATGAAAATATACATTTTTGAATTTGTGGATTTACTTATTAATTAACTATTTGTTAACAATATTCTAATTTAGGTATAAACAATGTATTTTTCAAAATTTTGTTTAAAATGCTTTCATTATTTTCTCTGTATATTTTGCTTACGTAAATCCACATAAAAGTTATTTTAGTCTATATCATAGTTATATGTATTTATTTATTTTATTTTGTTATATTATACTGAAGATAAAGTCCTAATTTCATAGGCATATTTATTTTTTATTTTATAAGAAAAGTATATTGACTGATGAAATTTTAAAAACAAAAAAAAGTCTCAAAACAAGAAAACACATAAGGACAATATTTATGACAAAATATGTTGTAACCTTTAGGGTAAGTGTTCTCTTGAGAGGACAATATGGAGTGCTTCTACTGAACATCAGAGCTTCTCGGTTACGAAGAAACAAATGTCAGTTATTTACAATCACATTGTCTCGATGAAAATAATAATACTCCAAACTAAAAGATTTGGATGGCTACAAAAATCACAAAATGTATGTATAATTTTTAGGTCATTGGACCCATAAAGATGTATCATTGTTTGCTTAATAAGTGCTAAACAGGGGATTAAATATCACTGTTAGATATTAAATGTTTATTACATATTAGTTTGATCAGATTATTAAACAAATTACTTAAACCCAATTTAAATAACAAAATAAGTTTATTATTATTGTGAGCTGTATACTATAATATAAATTAGGTATAGTACAATTATGTAATATTATGTCAAATATCCTGATTCGTAAATCAAAAGATATTAACGAAGCGCAATGTTTATAGATACTCTTAATTATCTCTTCGAATGATATTATTAAAACCTAATTCCCATGTGTCAATAAGTCGGAAATCGACAGACACTGCTTTGCCTTTAGAATTAAAATATTTTAGTACACCTACTAGGGTATTATCGTAAATGTCTTTTAATTATATAAACAGTTAAATGAGATGAGATTCAGAGACGTATAATAATGTGTTATTATTTCATAATAAGACCACCGGACTACTCAATAAATACTGACTGTATGTAAACATTTGATAAAATCAAATCGTTTATAAATCCAAAAGCTATTAATCATTTCTTATTTTAAACGAAACGAGTCAATCTGTAAATACTTTTAATACATATACTTTTATTTTAAATACTAATATTTTATACACCGAAGCCGTGTTTTCAAATCGATATACATTCGATAACGTTGTACCGTGTCGGTTAGGTGTAGTAACTGTAATATCCCAGAATCCAATTTTTATTTTTAATGAAATTTCTTAAGCATTTCTCATTTTATACAACTAAAAAAAAAACTAACAAATAACGTTCAATTATTGACTTAGGTGTTATTGGTGACGTAGAAACAAAAATAATAGTAATAACAATAACAATGAAAAAATTCCACAAAAAATATTTTGCACTGTCATTGAAAGTTTTATACCATGAATTCTGGGAAGAAAATGTGGTGTAAAACGTATATTTGATTGAAAAACATTTTTGAAAATTATGTATTTATTCATATAAAACAGGACTGTGGTATGAATTATAAAAATATCAATGATTTATTATGAGTTAAATAGCTTTGTATTACGTTTCATTTTACAACGAAAAACTTTAGGTAGTTTTTATTTTGTTAATCATACTTAGTTTCTGAAAGGTGGTTGGAAATTTTTTATAGGGACTTAAATGCACACTCATTATTGTAATGTTGTCACGTTAAAACCAATTTCAAATTTCAATATTATATGGCTATTATAGGAACATTAAATTAGAGTATTAACGGATAAAAATCAAAAATATATACATCTGTCCATTTAGAATCTAAAATAAATAAATAAAATATGGGTAAAAAAAAAATAATGAACATAATGCCTTAGATAAGTTATTAAGAATATAAATATTGTATATTAAAACACTCAGATTTCTATTAGCTTAATCGATTCTTATTTTTTACAATTGGTTGAAAACATTGAAACAAAACACATCAGACTATTGTTAGATAACCGACATGAGCTTTTTTTCCCAAGAATTTTAAACAAGTATTTATTAT